ACCACATCCTACTGCCGACTCAACACAGCGGTGTCCATTCTGCAGCTTTATTCTGATGAATTCACCAGAGGGGACCTTCGTACTGGAGCTTGTTGCTGTGCTACGCTTCACAATCTGAGGCAATAAGGGCAGGTGGAGCGATAGAGGATCTCGTAAGGGCAGGTGGAGAGATGGAGGGACTCATCCATGGCACCACTTCCAGGATTCAGCTCTGGGCTCCTCATCCTCAGTGCTCACACCAGTCTGCAGACTTTTCAGATCCTACAAAAATGCTCACAAACATTACACAAAAGCAGTCATTTTAACAGCACAATGTCATTTGATTTATGTATTAAAAATAGCCTTACTTTATATTTGAGTAAAATCCCTGCAACCTTTTTTCCCCCAAGAAATGCTGCCATCATCTTTCCTTGCAGGTCCTGCTCCACCACAAAAGCTCTGCAGCAAATGCAGAAATCAAGACTCAGAAAGGTGTTGTTGTAATTTCTCAGTTTGAAATTACAATCATTCAAATAAACTACAACTTAACATTTAATAGATTTTGTTATCCATTTCTGTTGTATACTCACTCAGAGCCATTGATGACAGCATTCAGCATCATGAGCCTCTCTCCACCGGATAAACACACGCGTGTTCTTCTGTCCCTGTAACATACAGACAAGATTCACATTATGAGCTCAACACTGAATTTACATGCTGAGGTTGATGTGTTAACTCACTTTTAATCCAACTTAAATGTTCCTCAATATATCAACACTAATAAGGGACAAATTAAATATATATCATGTTGAGTTACTTCATAGATGTGTTTATTTACAGCACATATTTGTCTAATGTAAGCAGTGTTGACAACAGTGAATTATCCTACATAATAGCACACACATGTATTTTTCATGTTGGGATGTGCTCACCTGCAATACTTATACAATATTTTCCTTCCTGATGTAAATAGACATTTTAAATAAGATGTATGGTTATGTAAATCCACTTTGGAAACATAACTTTACGGTTACTGGAGCTCCCCTGTTAGCTATACAATAAAACATGTGTTTACAGCAAAATCACAACTATATTATAACGTTTACTCTAAAGTAGTTTAACACATCCAATGTAAACACAATGGAACCGTGTTTACTCACATTTGAAAACCCCTGCGTCGCTGATCTCCGCGATGTTGATATTGACGTATCCTCTCGCGTGGCCTCCTGGGATAGATGAGTATCATGAGGACCCGCATCGGACAGCACTCAAAAATCTGGGCGGAAGCAGTTAGCCTTCCGGGAACTTCTTGCCTACTCTTTTATGAAAACTGATGTTTCGAACGTACTGCTTCCTTCACGTACTGTTTTCGCCTACTATATAGTAGGAAAGTAGGCAAATTGGAACGCACTTAAGTCAGAATCTCACGACAATTACTACGTCACCCAGGTAATTCTCGGCTACTCTTTTGGATTCATTCATACTTTTTTGCTCGCCTACTCTTTTCCCCATACTAAATAGTAGGGAAGTATGCGGCTTGGAATGCAGCCAATATCTCAGCTCTGGAAGGGTCTAGAGCCTCCATTTTTGTACTCTGGTCTAAGTCGCATGGCCCTCTATCAGAATCCAGAGTTTCAAGAAAATTGGAGAAACTTATTTTTTCGCGCAAAAAAAAAAAACGACAGGGGTAACACTGTCGTTTTTTGGGTTTTTTTGGGGTCGAAATTTTGAGTTTCTCTGATCTTCTTGGATTCTGATAGAGGGCCATGAGACTTAGACCTGAGTGCAACAATGGAGGCTCTAGACCCTTCCAGAGGCTCTAGACCCTTCCAGAGCTGAGATATCGAAACTCAAAATTTCAACCCGAAAAAAAAACGACAGTGTTACCCCTTACGTTTTTTTTTGGGGGGCAAAAAATTAAGTTTCCCCAATCTTCTCAAAACTCTGGATTCTGATAGAGGGCAATGAGACTTAGACCTGAGTGCAAAAATGGAGGCTCTAGACCCTTCCAGAGCTGAGATATCGAAAATAAAAATTTCGACTAGAAAAAAAAAACGACAGTGTTACCCCTTACGTTTTTTTTTTTGGGGGGGGGCGAAAAATTAAGTATCCCCAATCTTCTCAAAACTCTGGATTCTGATAGAGGGCCATGAGACTTAGACCTGAGTGCAAAAAATGGAGGCTCTAGACCCTTCCAGAGCTGAGATATCGAAACCCAAAATTTCGACCCGAAAAAAAAAACGACAGTGTTACCCCTTACGTTTTTTTTTTTTTTGCGCGAAAAAATAAGTTTCTCCAATCTTCTTGAAACTCTGGATTCTGATAGAGGGCCATGGGACTTAGACCTGAGTGCAAAAATGGAGGCTCTAGACCCTTCCAGAGCTGAGATATCAAAACTCAAAATTTCGACCTAAAAAAAAACCCGACAGTGTTACCCCTTACGTTTTTGGGCGAAAAATTAAGTTTCCCCAATCTTCTCAAAATTCTGGATTCTGATAGAGGGCCATGAGACTTAGACCTGAGTGCAACAATGGAGGCTCTAGACCCTTCCAGAGCTGAGATATCGAAAATCAAAATTTCGACTAGAAAAAAAAACGACAGTGTTACCCCTTACGTTTTTTTTTATTGGGCGAAAAATTAAGTTTCCCCAATCTTCTCAAAACTCTGTATTCTGATAGAGGGCCATGACACTTAGACCTGAGTGCAAAAATGGAGGCTCTAGACCCTTCCAGAGCTGAGATATCGAAAATCAAAATTTCGACTAGAAAAAAAAACGACAGTGTTACCCCTTACGTTTTTTTTTTGGGGGCGAAAAATTAAGTATCCCCAATCTTCTCAAAACTCTGGATTCTGATAGAGGGCCATGAGACTTAGACCTGAGTGCAAAAATGGAGGCTCTAGACCCTTCCAGAGGTGAGAGATCGAAACTCAAAATTTCGACTAGAAAAAAAACGACAGTGTTACCCCTTACTTTTTTTTGGGGGGGGGGGGAAATTAAGTATCCCCAATCTTCTCAAAACTCTGGATTCTGATAGAGGGCCATGAGACTTAGACCTGAGTGCAAAAATGGAAGCTCTAGACCCTTCCAGAGCTGAGAGATCGAAACTTAAAATTTCGACCCGAAAAAAAAAAACGACAGTGTTACCCCTTATGTTTTTTTTTTTGGGCGAAAAATTAAGTATCCCCAATCTTCTCAAAACTCTGGATTCTGATAGAGGGCCATGAGACTTAGAGCTGAGTGCAAAAAATGGAAGCTGTAGACCTTTCCAGAGCTGAGATATCGAAACTCAAAATTTCGACCCGAAAAAAAACTCACAGTGTTACCCCTTACATTTTTTTGGGGGGGGGGCGAAAAATTAAGTTTCCCCAATCTTCTCAAAACTCTGGATTCTGATAGAGGGCCATGAGACTTAGAGCTGAGTGCAAAAAAATGGAGGCTGTAGACCCTTCCAGAGCTGAGATATCGAAACTCAAAATTTCGACCCGAAAAAAAAAACGACAGTGTTACCCCTTACGGTTTTTTTTTTGGGGCGAAAAATTAAGTATCCCCAATCTTCTCAAAACTCTGGATTCTGATAGAGGGCCACGAGACTTAGACCTGAGTGCAACAATGGAGGCTCTAGACCCTTCCAGAGCTGAGATATCGAAAATCAAAATTTCGACTAGAAAAAAAACGACAGTGTTACCCCTTACGGTTTTTTTTTTGGGGCGAAAAATTAAGTATCCCCAATCTTCTCAAAACTCTGGATTCTGATAGAGGGCCACGAGACTTAGACCTGAGTGCAACAATGGAGGCTCTAGACCCTTCCAGAGCTGAGATATCGAAAATCAAAATTTCGACTAGAAAAAAAACGACAGTGTTACCCCTTACGTTTTTTTTTTTGGGCGAAAAATTAAGTATCCCCAATCTTCTCAAAACTCTGGATTCTGATAGAGGGCCATGAGACTTAGACCTGAGTGCAAACATGGAGGCTCTAGACCCTTCCAGAGCTGAGATATCGAAAGTCAAAATTTCGACCCGAAAAAAAAAAAACGACAGTGTTACCCCTTACGTTTTTTTTTTTTTTTTTGGGCGAAAAATTAAGTATCCCCAATCTTCTCAAAACCCTGGATTCTGATAGAGGGCTATGAGACTTAGACCTGAGTGCAACAACTGAGGCTCTAGACCCTTCCAGAGCTGAGATATCGAAAATCAAAATTTCGACTAGAAAAAAAAAACGACAGTCTTACCCCTTACGTTTTTTTTTTTTTGGGCGAAAAATTAAGTATCCCCAATCTTCTCAAAACTCTGGATTCTGATAGAGGGCAATGAGACTTAGACCTGAGTGCAAAAATGGAGGCTCTAGACCCTTCCAGAGCTGAGATGTAGAGATATTTATAATGGCATAAATGCTACGTGGTATCTCAATATCTCAGCTCTGAAAGGGTCTAGAGCCTCCATTTTTGCACTGAGGTCTAAGTCACATGGCCCTCTATCAGAATCCAGAGTTTCAAGAAGATCAGAGAAACTCAAAATTTCGACCTCAAAAAAAAAACAAAAAAAAAAACGACAGTGTTACACTTGTCGTTTTTTTTTTTTTTTGTGCAAAAAAATAAGTTTCTCCAATCTTCTCAAAACTCTGGATTCTGATAGAGGGCCATGAGACTTAGACCTGAGCGCAAAAATGGAGGCTCTAGACCCTTCCAGAGCTGAGATATTGAGATATTTATAATGGCATAAATGCTACGTGGTATCTCAATATCTCAGCTCTGGAAGGGTCTAGAGCCTCCATTTTTGCACTCAGGTCCAAGTCCTATGGCCCTCTATCAGAATCCAGATGGGACTTAGACCTATCAGACTTAGATTTGGGACTTAGACCTATCAGAATCCCGGGTACCCCTGTCGTTTTTTTTCGGTGTGAAAAATTAAGTTTCTCCAATCGTCTCAAAACTCTGGATTCCGATAGAGGGCCATGAGACTTAGACCTTTTTAACTTTAATTAATAAAAAATCTTTCTATTTTACATAAACTATGAAATACTGGCAAAAATATATACAAAATGTAAATACACCTTAGAAAATGTTGAAGCGCTACCATGCTTCTCTTCAATGTAGAGTTTTTTTTTTAATATAATTACTACATGCAGAGCTCTACTGGCAATTGATTGGATGACAAACGTCCAATCTCATGGACTGCAGGCTTTAAACTCGGTGAAATGTTCAAGAAGTTAAAAAAAGTGGGCTGACATGTGATGTCCATTGTAATGGACACAGGGTCTGAATGGGTTAAATGGTTAACTTTTAAGGAATTCATCTGATTAATTTTTACTCATTTCTATTATTAAATTGAATTAATAATATTGCTTGTAATCTGTTGCCACAATTTTTTTGATTAGATAAAGCGCGTTAATTTTTACAGTGTAATTCAGAATATGCAGCTTAGAAATAGTAAATCAAAATGTCTAAATGTGTTCAGAGAACGTTCCGAGTTGAATGATTTCTCTCTACCCCTCCTCAGGTTGGAGAAGTCGAGCCAGGTTCGTACGGTGTCCAGCAGTAACCTGTTCTTCAAGGGGAGTCGCTTCCGCTTCAGGTAAGTGTGGATGGATAGGTCACTGCCCATGGACCGCCACAGCCTCAGGGGTCCTTGCTCCAAAAACAGCCTGGCGTCTTCATCACGGTCACGTAAAGGTGACAGCTTCGGAGCTAACGCACCACAACCTGCTGCGGATGGTGCTGTTCACTCAGGCCACCTCTTAGACACAAGTGTTTATTTATTACCAGTAATTGTAACAGATGAATGGAGCCATCGGGGCAATTAAACAAACAGCATGGTCCATTATTATAGTGGGCTCTCAGGCTCAAACGCCTAATTAGGAAATTGATAACAGTTATTTTCTCACTCATATGTAAGGAGACAGGGAGGATTTTAAGGCAATGAAAAAAACGTTGGGAGTTTTTTTTTGTTAAAGGGAAGTAGTTCAGCCAGAGACTGAGAGGCAGAGATTGAGTTAAGAGAGGCGACTCAATAAGGTTAATCTAATTCCAGAGCTTCATGGACTCTGGTAGCAGTCGTCACCATGCCTCAGTCACAGGGATCACAATTCCCACCAAAATGCCAGCTGTTTGAAACTGTTGCAATGGTTGAGCTGTTTTCTTTTGGTTGATTTTAATAGATGAAGCTGAAACAGTCTCAAAACAGGGTGTGTGAAATTAACACCCAGCAACAACTGTATATGCAGGTGCTTTTTGCACAGTGGCAGGTAGTTTTGCTCATCTGCCAGCTACTGTGGTGAGTGTCCTGTAACATATTTCCAGTCAGGGGATATTTTAGCATGTTTTTGCATCTTATATTGAAAATATTTGATAAGGTTATAAGATTGTGGCAATATAAAATAATACAATGTGAATACAAAGAGAACTGTATTTAAGATATTAAAGGTGATATACTTTTTGTTACAGTGTGAATATATATGGGTATTTAAGATGAAGAAGATAATTTTTTTAACATATACATTTTACACTAGCAGGGATAAAACTGGACACGTTTTTGTAATTCGTTTTTGTTTGATTTCAGTGGAAGAGTAGCCAAAGAGGTAATGGAGCAGAGTGCAAAAATTAAACGGGAACCTCCAGAAATACATAGGTATGCATGAGTGCCCATCTGTGTGGCAGTGTTAACCGTATAATTGCTAACACTGGGTCATGTTCTTTTGACGGCATCAGATGTGTGCATGCAATCCCAGTAAGATTGACTGATGCCTGTAGTCGTAGGACATACTGTAATATGATAAATGAGAGTGTTGATGCAGTACTGTATGTGTATGTGGACACAGGGCTGGCCTGGTGCCCAGCAGAAGCTGTCCATCCATCACACATGGGCCAAGGCTGAGCAGTGTCCCGCGCACCCGCCGGAGAGCCGTACACATATCCATCATGGAAGGTGAGAGTCCAGTTCAACCCATTAACCTGCATGAGTTCAGCTCTATGCTACGCTGAAAACACATGCAGAGCACTAAATGTCAAATCACTTAATGGTTTGTAATAAATTTAAAATGCTGTAGGAAATAGCCAACCTATATATATATATATATATATATATATATACAGTATATATATATAAATGTTTATGTGTGTGTGTGTGTGTATATATATATATATATATATATACACATACATACACACACATAAACATATATATTATATATATATATATATATAAATAAATGTTTATGTGTGTGTATATATATATATATATAATATATAAATTATATTATATGTACACACACAGTATATATATATATGAACAGTTCAGATGCAAAAGCCTCTAAGTGCCATTTGAAATTTTCTTCTAAAATTATCATTTTTATCAAGCTTGTATATTTAAGTTCAGTAATTTCACTTAAATGGCAATGAAGATTACCTATTAATTGTCATTTAAGTGAAATTACTGAACTTAAATACACAAGCTTGATAAAAATGGTCATTCTAGAACAAAATTTCGAATGGCACTTAGAGGCTTTTGCATCTGAACTCTTCATATATATATATATATATATATATATATATATATATATATATGTAAAGGGCATTAAGACAATTTACAGGTACTCAGTCAAGGACACTTGAAGATTTCTTATGAATTTGAATTTATGCAGTGTAGAAATGTACTGCATGTGTGATGAAACTATTCATTAAAATAATATTGATTTTCATTTTTATTTTATTTATTTTTTTGTATTTTAATAAATTATTTAATATCATATTTTATTTACATTTTTATTTTATGTTTTTTTATTATTAAAATAATAACATTTTTTATTAATTTTTTTATGTTTATATACCCATGTGTACGTTTATACATTTTAAAAAGTTGAATTATTTACAAATATTCAAAATATTTTTACATTTTTATCTTTACTTTTTATAAAAAAATTATATGATTTGACAATTGTTTACATAAAAAATGTTTAATTATACATTTTTACGTGTGTGTGTGTGTGTCACACACATAAGTATACACATACATATGTATATATGCACATGCGTATTCACAAGAGTTGAAAAGTTGACCGCATGCAGTAATATGAGGCTGGCGCAGTCTCACGGACTGGAGGTGCAGGTGCTTCAGTCAGTCACAGAACTCTATTTCTGTGCCAGCTGTGTACAGTCAGTACTAACACTTCCCTGTGGCACCAGCTGTGCCATCTTGTCCCACCTATCAAAGGTGTCTTCTGCCCACCCATTTGTTATGGGTCTCATCTATTGAGACTCACTGTGGGCACTGCCCACTCTTAACATGAGTACATAGCCAAAAGGAAGTTTAGTCCCTGCTCACTGTATCCTCTCTGGAACAGCGAAAAGACCATCTGAAGATGTAGTGAAAAGCTCTTGTCTGCAGTGCGAACGACTCAAGAGAGCTTAGAGAATAAAGTCAACTGTCCTACATGTGCTGACTGTGAGTCTTCAAGGAATATTAATACCCCCGTCTGAAAATAGACAGGGCCTTTCCTCACCATTTAAGTCACTGGCTGAGGGAGGGAGGGAGGGAGAGAGGAGAGGTCTGGGTGGGGTACGATTCGCCACCGTTTACCAGCACAGCCTAGCCTTTACCCAACAGCCCATGGTGGAAAGAAGGCACCGGTAGTAGGGTTTCTACATTCGCTTGTCGGAGATAAACATGGTGAAGTGCCTAATCCGCATCACCACGCGGGTGAACGTCCACCTGCGCATGATCAACCACTGCTATCGGGATGTAAAGGTTCGGGTGCTGAGTTTGGGGCCTCGAATGCTGGGAAAGGCCCTTGGTGTGCTGCCCCTTTACCCGGCACTCATGGGGCAGCAGGACCAGCTGCGGGCATCACCTTTACCCATGACTTCACCGTCTTATGCAGTGCCTGCCCCCGCTATAGGTAAAGTGTAATGCGTTTTTGTTTGGGCTCCAGATGCTTGATTGGTTGTTTTTCTGAAGGTTTTTTCAGTAAGATATATTGTAATTCTGCTTTGTTATGATGAAATTGGTTTAGGTGGGTTAGGTGTTGCTGCAGTGTTTTATTGTTTTCAGCATAAAAAGCGCTTTAATTATGTAGAACACAGTACCTTTCAAAAGTTTGGGGTCGGTAATGCTTTTATTGAGGAAGGATGCAATAAATCGAACATTTTGAATAAGAAATGTTTTTTGTTTAGCACCAAATCAGACTGACTGACACTGAAAATTTACCTTTGCTATCACAAGAATAAATTGCATTTAAATGTATTAAAATGGAAAACTGTTATTTTAAATTAATAATATTTTGCAATATTCCTGTTTTCATTTTTGATCAAATAAATGCAACCTTGGTGACTTCAAAAACATTTAAAAAAAAATCATACCGCCCCAAACCTTTGAACAATAGAGTACATTTTACATAAACAGTTGATGATTTAAAAAAACAATTGTTGAACTATTCATAGTCTTGTGGATTGTGAAGCCAATCAATGAGATGTGTGGATTGAAGGTACTCTACTACCTTACTCAGGCTATGTATGTATCCACATCAGTATAGATACATTTTAAAAAACGACGTTTTTGTTTAAAAACGCTCTCCATGCACACTAACGTTTTTAGGCATTTTCCGACGTTTCAGTGTGGATGAGAAACTTACATTTGCATTTATGCATTTGGCAGACGCTTTTATCTAAAGCGACTTACATTGCATTTCAAGGTTCACATTTATTTTCTAGTCAGTTCTTGCTTTCCCTGGGAATCGAACCCATGACCTTGGCGTTGCAAGCGCCAACGCTCTACTGTTTGAGCTGCAGGAAAGTTCTAATTTCACCTTACTGCGCATGTGTGAAACCTCATAAAAGCTCACCGAGATGATACAGAAGGAAAAATAAATAATAAAGTTATCGTGTAATTCTTCAAACACGATCATTTTATTTAAACGCCCGGCGTTTTTTACTGGTCGCCGAGAGTTGAAAAATGTTCAACTTTGAATAAAACGCAGCGCTCATCACTGTCACTTTTTACCCAGCTGTCCAATCACAGTGGAGGAGGGGCGGGACTAAACTACACTGACCCACTGTCACAACATTCAAACTGTGCTGGGGATATTCTGTATCATAGCAACGAAACGTCTCAAAGGAAAAAACGCTGCGCTGCCAAAACGCTCTCAAGCGGCCAAAGCACGGCGTCTTCAGCAGAGCGTCTAGCGTTAACAGCTGGCTAAAAACGCTTTGGTAGACACACAGCCTAAACCGGCGTTTTCAAAATTATCCGCTTTGGAGAGCGTTTTCCAAAAGCTACGTTTTCATTGACTTAAAACGCCGTCTCAGTGTGGACAGAAGGCCAAACCGGAGAGAAAAATATACGTTTTCAAACGAAAACGTATTAGTGTGGACATGGCCTCATTAACAGAAGCTCTCTCCTCAAGAAAAGGCTCTTCATATGTCCTGATCAAAATAGACAGAACATGTTAGAAGTTTGAAAGCTGTAGAAGCTTTCCTGGGTGTTCATGGTACTGTAACTAAAGAACTGCTGGAGTTGCAGAAGTGTACAGCATAATGAGGACTGCACACTAAAACTGAAATCTCATTCCAGCTGTGAATTGTGTTGAAAGGAGGATGAAAATATCAGAGTAGCCTTCTATCACCTGAAGCAAGAAGACGTTGACTCATTACAGAAGTAATTCAGCAACTGAACTGCTTTCACAGAAGAAATTGTGCTCTCAGTCCAGACATCAATTCTGTTGATACTGAAGAGAGTGATTAACTTAAATAATACATTAGATATATGAACTGAAGAGTTCAAAAAGTTCAAACCGTTCCAAAGAATTATAGGATTTCTTGAAACTAGTCCTAATGGAAGCTTTTACTGGAAAAGAAGATTTAACAGTCAGTTAGTTATTGCAAGGTACACATTTTTGTTTAAACAACATATTGGCAAAAACAAAGTAGATTGTGTTTGTCTTTGGTTGAAGGGGCTTACACATTTTATGAATTATAAATGCAGAAGTAAAGGTAAATACAAAGGCTTCACAAGTTTGTTTTTGCAGCTTATAATTCAAGTAAAATCTAAGTTGTTCAATTTCAGACATATTAAAATGTGCTTTCATGTGTGACCATTTTTCTCTTTGACAGGGTGTTTAATATTGTGAATGAGAGGCCTTTGGTTGAGCAGTAAAATGTCGCATCGTCAAGAGATGAAATCCTAATCCTTTCACATCAGAATAGAGATGTAACGTATCTGCAGTGACACGCTCGAGAATCTAATGCTCAGCAAAAGCTTGCATGTTTCTCTACTTTGGGTCCCTTGAGGAAAAGGGTATGCGAGAACTGAAGCACGAGGATTTATGGGAGATTTGTAGCATCCTCACTTTGTGGTCTCTGAGGTCGCTTACTGTGACGAATCCTCTTAACATAAGTGTTAAAGTTATACGTTTAAGAACTGAAATATAGTTCAGTTAGCTTCTGTATATCATGTATCTTCTGTACTGAATTATAATGGGCTGCTATCTGCTGTTTAATGGCTTTCTAACTTAGTAGCATTGAAAGACTGTGTGCTATATATGCATCTGCATGTTGTATTGCGAGGTCTAGTGCTTTTGATTTACCATGTGTTGCTAATTATTACAGCGCCTCAGTAAGTTGGCTGTTTGCCTGTCAATACTGTACTTGTGATTCCCAGTGCCTTGCAGTACAGTGTCTATCAGTGCAAACAAGCTGGGAAATGTCTTTTCACATTAGCGCTGCAGTCTGTGATTTAGTATCTAGATCTGTCACCTGCATGAGACCCTACTAATACACCCAATCAAGGCGTATGCACCAAGCAGCAACATTCTAATCTGAAAAATAAAGCCTACCCGGAAGTGCGAAAAACTGCAATACATCAAAAATCTGCTAAAGGCAGGTCTCAAATGGGTGCAAATGTCCATACCCCATGTTAAAATGTCCGTTTTCACAGCATAAATTCATGTTTTTAAAGTTTGGTCCCATGGACTTTCATTGTAATCTTCAATATGTTCCGAGTGCCTAACAACTGTGAGGGGGGTGAATTTTTTTCTAACTCGTTAGTTTGGATCGTGTTTAGATATAAAATGTAGGACAAATAAGGGCAGTTAACTTTGATTGACAGCTGATAATGGGCTGCGCGGAGTGGAATTTGACGTCTCGGCCATGATCTGACAACACATCATACCACCTCTGTATCCTTTCTGAACATTTGTATTTTGTACTTCCCAAGATTTTCCAGGATGGCGCCGCCCATACCCCCCATAAACAGCTTCAAAACTGTTCTTCAGAAATTCTATGGGTGACGTCACAGACGCTTTGTCCATATTTTTTACAGTCTATGGTATGCGCACAGTCATCCCCCCCTTCCCTTTTTGATTGTTGCTTGTCAGATTGTAACAAAACCCAAAAATAGGAAATTTGTGCTTAATTTTTCATATCGTTATGTAATGTTTCGTGATTATTGTATATTCGACATACTTCGTACTTTAACTCATATACGATGTAGCATTGGCAGCCTATGCATTGTAAGTCTGGACATTCAATTTTAAAGTTGGCGTGAGTTGGCATCTATTTTGTAAATGTATCTAAAGCCTTGTTCACACTACAAGGCTTTCACACTTTAAAACGTCAGACTGAACTGTGCGGTTCACACTACATGACTTGCTCTCAGTGAAATAAGGAGTGTTCAAGTTGTTCAGCTGTTCACACCACACAACACATGATCGATAACTCACTACACGAGTTGACAACGCACTATAGAGATACAACCACGATCAGATGATAAGAGCAAATCATTTGTGACTCAATGAGAGCTGTTTTAGTGCTGTTACGGTCTAAATCCTGAAAATAATCAAATAAATAACGAGTTGACAACAACTCTGTCACCCAACGATTCTGTCTTGCCTACACACCACGTTTTGTCACGAAAAAACACGCAATAAAACGAACCAGAAATGATGCGAAACAGCACGTGCGCCAATACCCAGCGAAGAATAGGACACAACACGTGAATATGGACGTCAGAAACTAGTGCTCTGCTCTGAGAACAAAAAATGCAAAAAAACAAACAAAAAACCTAAGATTTACCTGGTGTCCTCAACCCATGTGTTGCTATGATTGGCTGTACTCATGACGTCACTGAGTTTGAGTCGCGCAACAGCTCTGGATATCTAGCAGGCTAGATATTTTTCTGGGCTCGGCGAGGCGTCTGCGAGCGTTTTCGCTGCGTTGTTGGCTCTTTCATACTAACAGATTGGCAAGCGTTCATCGTCCGCTAATCCCCCGCGATTTGCACACGATAACACCCTGACCTGTCGGCGAGCTCAACGATTTGCAAATCGGGCATAAATCGGGCTTAAAATCCTGTAGTCTGAACTTGGCTTTAGGGCATTTTCCCACCTGACTTGTTTGTTTCGGAGCCTGGCACATAGTAACAACATGGCGGATGTAGTATGTCTGAATTCCTTTCATGCTACCCATATTCATACTATAAATAACGTACTTTTTTAACAGTCGAAAGGTAAAATCAAATTCAAATGTAGTACCTACTCAGTACTTGATTTTGAACTCAATGTAACACTGTCTACTCTAGATGACAAATCCTTTTGTTTTTCATGTCTGAAGTCATGTGAGTCTTGAAGTGTGTCAGAAATAGAACGGGGCATTAGTTTACAGTCGGGAATTTGTGCTGTCGCATCCAGAATCACTGATTATAGTGGGTTATATTTGTTTTTATCACGTTGCACCGCTTGCACCTGGTGCACCCTGTGACAGAAATCACTTTTTATAATTTATAAATCAAGTTGCCTTTTTGTCTCTCTTTTATCTTTCCCCTTCCTACTGTCCAGGTCTTGAATCCTTGCGGGACAGCGCTCACTCCACTCCAGTGCGCTCCGTGTCCCACGGCGACTCCTTCATGTCACGTTCGCGCAGCCATGTGATGGACTCCGGCGACGGGACGGCGGTCATCTCCGACGAGACCTACAGTCCCTCCGACAGCGTTCTGCCCACACCGGTGGCCGAGCACAGCCTGGAGCTGGCAGTCTCACGCCAGATCAACGGCGCCCCCTGCAGCATCGAGGAGGAGAAAGAGTCGGAGGCGGGGACACCCAGCGTGGGAGACCTGGCCGAGTTAGGAGCGGACAGTAGGGCAACAGGCCTCTTGAAGAGCGCAGGCGGGGAGGCCACGCTCAGCGAGACGGAACAGGTGAATAAGTTTGTTTTAAGTGTACTCCGTCTGCTCCTTGTGACAATTGGACTCCTCTTTGTCTTGCTCCTCCTCCTCATCATCCTTACTGAGTCCGACCTTGACATTGCATTTTTACGTGATATCCGGCAGACCCCCGAGTTTGAGCAGTTCCATTACGAATACTTTTGTCCCCTCAGACGGTGGTTTGCCTGCAAGCTCCGCTGGGTGGGCGGGCTGCTCATTAACAAGTGAAAATGAGGCACTAAAGCTCGTAAAGCCTTCCTTGTTGGGGTCGAGAAGACGCTAAACACGTGGAGAGAGAGAGAGAGAGAGAGAGGCGGAGGGCACCGACCTGTCCCATGAACCCAGCTTCTTTCATGACACTCCTACACCACCAGGCCCACAGCTCCTCTTCTCTTCCACTTTTAGTTTTCTCCCCCACCCATTTTTACACCTTTATTTTTTTCTTCTTTTTTTACAAAGACATTTTTGTTTTTTTGGTTTCCTTTTTTTGGATTTCAGGTCATTTCAGGTATTTTATTTTTACAAAAAACAAAACAAAAAAAAAAACAAAAAAAAACTTAATTCAAAGACTTAAGATTATTAAATATGAAATATTTTGTTGCAACAAGAAAATGTTGCCTTAATTTATATTTATTTTACAATAAAAATGATTAAAGTCTTATTAAAGAATGTGGTGCGTTAAGTCTAGAGAGACAGCAAGTTGGTTCAGTATAGTGGGTTTGGAGAGCGTGAGGACGTGGAAAACCAATGCTTTTCTGAGTTTATGCATAATTCATGTCCATCCGTTATTTAACTCTTAGTAATTTTCCGAAGGCTGCTATAATTGACCACACCGACGATCAGATCAGCAGAGGGTTATATGTAAGGTAAGAATGTGCAAGTTATTTTGAAAGCGAGACCTGAGGAAAGACTGGAAATTATGTTATTTGAATAAAATTGATGGGTACATTTGAGTTCTGTATTTGGTGGCTTGAGATTTAGGGTGTTAAATACATTTTAGTAATATAACTGTGTTTAGGCGGTAGCAAGCTGTGAAGTAGAAATCATTTTAAAAGGGTTCTTTCTTATGGATACAGAAAAATTAATTGGTATAAATTGTGTTCTGTTACGTGACCCGATAGTCTCGATATATGTTGAAGAAGTTCTCATGAATGATTTAAAAGCACCCATAGATCCAGTCTAGCTACAGTAGATGTGCAATACTGTAAGGGTTTGATTTTTAAGAAATAAGTACATAATTTTTGTTTTCATGAGTATGTGCATTTGCTTTATTATTATAATTTTTCATCCTAAGTCTTTCTCAATAGAAAGAAATCCCATTGTATAAAGTCTTTTTTTATTCCATATCAGCCTTGCTCTTAAGTTTGTATTTTGTGGATATCATGCTATGATTATTCTTAATTACAATAACAATGCTGTACTTTTTGTACAAAAAGTAGTTAGTTTCCTAATATATCAACAGTTTTTCCATGTATATTTTAACAGAAACTGAAATGTTATTTTGTTATTGAAAATTAAATTATACCTTTTTTAGCTCTGTGTTTCAGATGAGGTCTAGAATCTATGGCGTTTCCGTTAAGGGAGGCACGAGAAAGATTTTTATCCACATCTACAATCCATTTCCAACTTAACCAGTAATGAGTAAACCATCCCAGCGCTTTGTAAATTGGTAAAGGCCCAGCGTTTGAACAATACTGATCGCTTTATACACAGTTTACCCAAAAGACTCTGTGTGTATGTTGTGTGTGTGCGGTCATTTTTGAATAATTGATGTTTTTGGCAATATGTACTAGAAGGCCAGGTTTAGTCATTAGTACACTATGTCCTGATTAGTATTTATTTAAAGACAAACTATTCTTCCAGTGGCATGCCAGTATGGCAGGGGTTTTAATTTACCGAACGAACACTATCTATCTCTTACCCTTTGAAACTGCTACAATTTGAGAAAGAAGATAATGGAAGTGGGCAGAAAACACAGTGGATTTATTTTAGTGTACAGTGAAAGAGACAAGTAACAGCCAGTGGTAATCACCATAGTAAGAGTTAGTGTTTTAGATCTTACATTGGTATTCTACAATAAATTACAATAATTTCAGCTTTTGCATATAGCATTAGCATTGTGGCAGCTCACAAGCTTGGCTTTACTTGTGCAGTTATTTTAAATGACATGCTTCGATCCACTAATCACAATGCTGTTGTGAGGTCAGAATCACTATGGTGCTAGTGAACAAAAAGGATGGCTGAGATGTGTTTTATGAAGTGGCTGACTGTAATATGTCTTTATAACCATTTCATAGAACTGCTGTCTTCCACTGACTACAGGAGCTGAAACCTGTTTAAGCTACAACATGCGAATGTGAGGTGCATGGAAAACTGTAGCAGAAACGAGAGAGAGCCACTGGAGTTATGCATGTCTCTAACCTTGAGAAGCATTCATGCATGCATGCATTTAGAACATCTCTGATGTGCCAAGCGTTGTGGCGGCGTAAGTCCATTTATATTTTTGTAGAACCTGATTAAACAGCTATTTTTCGCAGTACAACAATACAATGGTCTTGCTGTGGTTGGTATCTGCATGCCATTGATGATCGGTTTTATTAACCCATCGATAAATTGATTTTGTTTAGAGAAAAAGAAAACACCTACTTGGAAGGCCAGTAATGGTTTTGAAAAAGAAGATAATTGAAGTTTTGATTGGATTTTACTCATTGACAGCATTATGTAGCCTCAGTGGTCAGTCCTGCATGGCAGTGCCATTCAATAAGCAATAACCTGAATTATCGAATCCTTTAAATGAATCTTTTTGGTGGTTTTTGTGCTGTTGTGTAGCAAGTCAGACTACCTGATGTTTTCTAAGGAGCTGGGGATGAATTCATTTCGTTTGAGTTAGACTCAAAAATAGCGATTTTAACTAAAAAGCTCATTTTATATGACATTTATTGCCCAAATTTGCTACATTTTATACTCATTGTGAGCACTCGTCATCTCGTTTGGATCCTGAACCGACTGTGTGCCGTTGTTCTGAAGTTTTACGCTTCTCTTTGTCCTTAGTATCCTATTGCACAAACTAGCGCAAACTCCTCCCTGGTCTCGTAGATCAAGGGCAATTGCTACACAAGGAGTCCTTGTGAACTTTATACTTTTGTCTCTAGACAGTTTTCCTGTACTGTATAGAATTGGCCAGGTTTGACTGTGATGAATGCAAGGGTCCGGTAAAGGACAATTGTCAGCTAAATTGGTTCATCATTTCTGTAAACTAACTGGGTTATTTCACAAGGTCCCTCTGTGGACTTTGTATCAAAGTATTTTTAAGCTTCTTAGTATGCAAGTGTATGGATAGAGTTGCCATGACACTTATAAAATGAAAAGCAGACTTTCAGGAGTAATACTATCCACCGCAGATAAAGCACTTCACTGGCTTAAAATATACCTTGACAGCATGTACAAAACGATACGGCTTCCTTCAAGCGATCCTGATCAGCCTATTAAAGATGGTGATTTTAATGTTCAAGATCTATTATTGTTGGCTACAGCTGTTAGATTCTGGTTTACAGTTGTGAAATCGTACTGACTGGCAGCTGCTCTTTAAAAGTTCGAGTTTTAGAGATTAGGAGCTCATTCCAAGTAAGGTCAGAATGTCATCCATGTTCATTAGGGAGATGCTAGAGGTAATTTAATGAACCAGTTGTGTGATCTCTCAGTTCGACTAGGTTTAGTTCTGAAATCATTCTACCAGGAACTTTAAATTTCGTCATCATCAGAATGAATGCTCCTTACATGCTTGCATACAAATTCCCAAATTATTTGGTAAAATCTGACTTCACCTGAACCGTAGCTTTAAGATCTACTATGGCGCTGAGATCCAATAAAGATCAGAGGTGGCAACATGCTTCGTTTACTGTACTGTGCTTCTGTCACTTTGCCAGCCCCCACAGTCCCTTCAACAGTTATGCATATACATGCACATTTGTTCATGCATAGATATGTCTGTGGGTGTTTTTCTGTTATCTGCATCTTTTCTGTTTGGGACTAGAGTTCGCTGTTTAGTTCCTTAATATATGAATATTGAAATACATCCAAAATTTATGTGCCAAATGCAGTTCCTGTTAAGTCAGATTCATTCCAAAATCATCTTTGTACTGTAGGAAACCTTCCATGAAAATGGTATAAGAAATTGTTTCGCTGGTAGTCCCTTGTAACTGGTGCCATGGAAATATTCAAACTTGAAATAAACATTCAAAAGTGTTTGAGATATCTTGTGGTTTATAGTTATGGATGTATAATTAATCAGATAGCTTATAGATATTTCAACTTTTTACCACACCAATGTTAAAATAGGACCATTTCCATTAATAAAACGGCATCACTGTGTCAGTGGCATTTCGCCCTCAAATATATTTTTGCAGATTAAACTGACCTCTCATACATTGACTTATAAGAGAAGGGGAAAATTATGTTTTTTTTTTTTAAATATATATATTTTTTTTATGAAGCACAGGAGTTCATATTTATAAACAACTGTGTTTGGTTAAATGTTCGCAACTAAAATGGATATAGACCACAAAACAAAATATTTATTAAAAATCTGTGTATAAAATGTATACAAATATCAACAAATAAATTTACTTGATATTCCCAGTGGAAATACTCCATTTCTAGAGGTGGGAGAATGCTGGTTTGAGGAATGGACGAGCGGCAGTCTGGGGGGTGGGCAAAGACATGAAGCCGGGCCTCTTCGCTGCTGGGACTGACGGACAGGGCCTGGAACCCCTGCCTGCACTCCGGCTCGCACCCCTGTATCCTCCTACTCCTCTTGATGAACAGTTATTGCTGTAGGGGGTAGTTAAGGGGTAGTTAATTTGGTTTCATATTGCCGACATGGAAGTCTACACAATCCAACAATGCTTCTGCTGTAACAAACATACTGACCCTTTAGTGGAGGAGTTCTGGCTGCTGGAACCTTTCCTTCTTTTGGGTTTTCTGGAGTAAGACCCTTGCTTTCTCTTTGCTCCACGTCCTGAGGTGCTTCTGAAATAAGTTGATGAGATTTCACCTTCATCGTCATCATCTTCTTCATTCTGGTGGCCTCTTGCTGTGTCAATCCATCCTGAACTCTCGGCCTGTGCCTCAGCTGCAGAGGGAGTGTGAAAACATCATGTCTCTCCAGCAACTTTATAGGTTGCCGTTTTGAGCTAGCTGATATATAATCTGTTGAAGTTTATAGGTAGAACTATCCAAATCAAAACTCTGTGCATCATCTCTGGTCATCTGTAATATTATATTATATTAAATAATTTGTACTGGTCTTGTACTAAGGTAAATTACATTATGATGAAATATATATTTGTAGGAGGCTAATAATATCGACCAGTAAAATCAGTGGACGTCTTGGATTTTAAACTCTACACCCCCTTAAAAGGATTTGTTCACCCAAAAATGCAAATTCTGTCATTAATTACTTGCCCTCATGTCGTTCTAAACCTGTAAGTCTTCCGTTCATCTTTACAATACATCAAAGATCTTTTGATGAAATCTGAGAGATTTCTGTCCCTCCAATGACAGCAACGCAACTTTACTGTGACACTTTAATGTTACAAAAAGTTCACAAAGAGAGTTTAAAACTAATCCATACGAATTGAGTGGTTTAGTCCAAGAGAGACTGAAGAGACTTGATCGCTTTATATGATGAACAGATTTAATTTAGGCTTTTATTCACATATAAACATTCATCAACTCACACATCAGTTATGGTTAGGGCTGTCCCTGACTAAAGATTTTTCTAGTCGACTAGTAGCCACTCATTTAAGCCATTAGCCGACTAGTCGGAAGTTCATAATAGAATTAATTACTTAATATATATACTTGGGGTTGAGGAGTGGCATCGGAAAATTGTTTCAGTGATGAGAAAGAATATTATAAAGTAACATTGTTCTACATTACAGAGAAAAACTAAACCATAATAGTGAGCAATTCAAATATTGCTGCAGCGGACTGGCAAAAGTAATAAATATGAATGTGTCGGAAAAACAGGATGGAGAAAGTATGAACATTTTAACAATTTATTAATAAACTAGTGATTTCTGAGTCAGTGTCGGCTGCAAAGATTGTTAAAGACGCCGACTCATCAACTCTACAGTACAGTGTATCTGCCTTTAGTGAGAAATGCATGTTAAGCACGGTACTAATTTATCTTCCAGACTCACTCCCTTAGATATTCGCCTAATAATAGCACACATTTATTTAGGTTAACGTTTGAGCAAGCAGCCATGTAGAAAGGCTACTACTTGCATGTTTCAAATGATAAGCCATATCCGAGGTCAATGACGGTTAACGTCTGTCACGGACTGCGTGACCATCAATTCCTGTAAAGTTTTTTTCTGTGGCTAACAGACTAAATAAAATTTGGTCGACTAACCCTCTTCTTGTTGACTAACGTTTAATCAACTATTAGGGGGCAGCTCTAGATACATTAAAGGTGCAGTGTGTGAATTTTTAGCGGCATCTAGTGGTGAGGTTACGTATTGCAACCATCA